TGGCTTAAGCTAAAGCCAGAAGTCAGCTAAATATCTACCCTTAAGGACAATTAGGGGCATAACTACTGGCATATCAGAGAAGGGAGCTTATCAATAGTATCAATAGGGCTTGAAAGATTCCTTTTGCCTCTGGGCTCTGCCATGTTCAGCATCTCCCCGGGGCTGTTTCTCCTTGTAGCTTCCTTGTTTATGTATGATAGGACAGAGAGGGAGAATTCTTCTTCCCCAGGAGGTCCCTTCAGTCTACTGAGCTATTGTAGATCCTAAACCTACCCTCAGACCAATGTCATGTCTGGGCATGGCTAGCTGGGTGGCTTATGTGAACAACAGAGTGGGTCAAGCACTGAGTTGTTATCAGTATTGAAGTCTGAGTCAGGGCCAAACCCAAAGGCTATCTAGTCTCAGAAGTTTGCTATGTACTAAATGGAAGGATCTAAACTCACCCGTGCCCCTTCCAGGGTTCAAGCCCCAAGCATCCAGTCTGCCCACTGTTCTGTACACCAGGGAACCTTAGTGCTGCCTAGCATGGTGACCTACTGAGGCCTGATAGTTACAGCTAACAGAGTCAGCCAGTATTTGCTGCCACCTAGCAGCTTTCTGACACTGGGCTTAATACTTAGAATTCTGTGTGTCCATTTGCACAACTATAAAATGTGACTAACAATAGACCTCATCCATAGGGTTGTTGTGAAGATGGATCAATTATAGCACTATGTACTTAACATAGGACCTGGTACATACTAGGTATATAGAAACTGATAGTCACTCAGGAATTTTCAGGTTGAGGGATAACCCCAAACAGCCTTTTTCTTTTCTTTTTCGTCTCTTTCTTTCTTCTTTCCCTCCTTTCCTTCTTTTTTTCAGATTTATTTATGTTTTGACACTGCTAGGGATGAGATCTGGACTTGTACATGCTAGGCCCACACTGTACCCTAGCCCCAACACTGGAAAGTTTTTTTTTTTTTTTTTTTTTTTTTTTTTTTTTTTTTTTTGGTGGGGTCCTCCTTTTTGCTCCTCCTTCTTTAAACACGTTTTTTTAGTCTTTTTGAGTCAGGGTCTCCCTGTTGCTCCAGCTGACTTAGAACTCACCATGTAGACCAAGCTGGCCTTGAACTCACTCGCCTACCTCTGCCTCCCAAGTGCTGGGATTAAAGACATGTGCCACCACACTCAGTGACACTGGAAACTTTTTTAAAAAAATTATTTACCTACATGCATGCATAACACTCATAAAATAAAAATAATAAATAAAATATTTAAAAAATTATTTTTGCTTTATTTTTATTTTATGTTTACATATGTATAGCCTGCATGTATGCAAGTGCACTTGTGTGTCATGCAATGCCCTCAGAGGACAGAAGAGGGAGTCAGAGCCCCTGGAACTCAAGTTACAGATAGGTATTAGCTGCCATGTGGATGCTAGGATTTGAACCCCAGTCTTCTGCAAGAGTAGTCAGTGCTTTTAACCTCTGAGCCATCTATCCAGCCCTGGATACTGGAAACTTTAATGGACCTGAGGCCTCTCCCTCTGACAGCCTGGGACTGGGCACAAGAGGATGTGAAGGGTATGGAGGACAGAATGCCCTGGCTGTGTCAGGATAGCCCATACCTGCCAAAGCATTTAATATTCTCCCATGCTGTCCTGCAGGGCCTAGGCAGGAACAAATCTCATTGCTTTCTCCAGTGGAGTACTGGGTACCAAGCCCCTTGTGAATACTCAAGATGTACTTATAGCCTGTCCCCAGATAAAGAGGAAAATAGAAAGTTCATGGGAGAAAGCCTACTGAGGAAAGTAGAAGTGTCTAGGCCACGTATTCCCAGGCTTGGCTGTATCCTAGGGACCTTAGGGACCTTAGGGACCTTAGGGACCCTGGATTCTTTTTGCCTAATCAAGCAATAGTCCTTTTTATAGCTTGACCCAGATCAGCCTGGCTGATACCATCAGACATTGGCTTCAAAGCTGAGCATCTTTGCCTTTAGTCTTTCCCTGCTCTGTTTATCTGACATCTAACTACATGCTGTCTTGTCATTTACTTATTTACTAGATTTATTTTATACCTGCTAATAGCATTAAAAACACAGCCATGAACTTAGGGCACAGAGGAAAGGGTCCCTTTCACTCCTGGTCTCAGTCCTGCTTCCCTTTCCTGAACTACTTGTAAGTTGCATGAGTATCCCTCCAGATATCTTGTGTTTAAGCATATGCATGAATGTCACATTTGTCCAACTGTCTTCCAAGCACCTTTGATTGACTCCTCTCTTCTCCAGTCAGTAGTCGCTTCTCTGCTGGATCACTTCATCACTTGGCTCCTGCCCTCTGGAGGCAGCAGTCGAGTTGCTTCCAGCAGGTGCCACTACAAGCAGGCTGTAGTGTGTGTCTGTGAACAGGGATGTCCTAGAACAGGGTTACTCCTCATTGGCCCATCTATAAGATGAAGTCCTGGAGGGGGCTTGCAAGATCAGAAGGCTTGTGTACCTTTGCCAAACTGCTTTCTTGTGAAATGGAGCTGTTTACAGACCAACCAGCAGTGATGGGGCAGCCTGCTCACTCTTATCTTCTACGGTACATTTTGTTATCAACTTTTTCTCTTGTGACTATAAAAGATGAAAAAAAGGAGGCTGGAGTGATGGCTCAGTGGTTAAGAATACTGGCTGTTAGAGCAGTCAGAGTCCCTAGTCTCTATTGGCAATTTGGGTAACCCCTTCAGAGGATGGTGTGATAAGAATAGGAGGTAGGAATTGGCTAGGCAGTTAGGGTAAAAAGATCCCAAAGAAATGTAGCCAGTTTCTTGGCTAAAAGTCACAATGTCCTTGGGCCTGTTAGCAACATACTCTTTTCCAAAGGCCAAAAATGTCAAAAGTATTTGGGAGCATGTATCTAATCCTTAAAAGATTTAGGGTTACCTTTCAGAGGGGGGAATGTTGGAGGGGAGGGAGTCAACATGGATTAGATCAAAACACCTTATATACATTTATGAAATTCTCAATGTTTTTGTAAAAATTTAAAAAAAGAACACTGGCTGTTGCTTTTCCAAGGACTTGAGTTCAATTCCCAGCAATCATATCAAGCAGCTCTCAACTGCCTGTAACTCCAGCTCCTGCAGGATCTAATGCCTCTGGCTTCTGTGAGCACCTGCATTCATGAGCACATATCCACACACAGACAATAACATATACATGTAATTACAAAATAATAATAATAATAAATTCTAAAAAATATGAAAAAGGGAATCTTGGGAGATCTTTTAGAAATTAAACCAGATCCTGTCTTCCTCCATAAATAAGACTCTTGTGACTTCCATTGTCCATAGAACACATCTGAGTTCTTGCTCAAACCCTGTATGGTCTTTCCAGGACCATCCCCTGATCTTGTCTCACCATGTGTCTCATGTCCTTCCACTACCGCTTCCTCACTTTGCAGCCACCTGACCTTGGTACTTTGGTGGCCATGCCAAGCTCTCTGCTGCTTCAGAATCTTTGCCTGCATCATGTTGACATCTGCAAATGCACTCTCCCTGCTCTTTCATGGCTGGCTTTCTCAAATCTCAGATTAAATGTTACCCCCACCCCATAGTCTCCTGAGCCTCCAAGAAAGGCTTTCCTCTTGTTTCCTCTTACTGTGCCATCTTAAGGTTCCATATAGCACTTATCACAAACCATAATGATTTTTATTTATTTTTAATATTTTATTTATTATTTTTATTTTATGTGTATGAGTATATTGCCTGCATGTGTGTAAGTGCACCCATGTCATGCAATGCCCAGGGAGTCAGAAGAGAGCATCAGATCCCCTGGAACTGGAGTTACAGATGGTCGTTAGTCATCACGTGGGTTCTAGAAATTGAACCCAGGTCCTCTGCAAGAGCAACCAGTGCTCTTAACCACTGAGCCATCTCTCCAGCCCTAATTTTTACTTATTTTTAATAAAAAACATTCTTCCAGCCGGGTGTGGTGGTGCACGCCTTTAATCCCAGTACTCGGGAGGCAGAGGCAGGCGGATCTCTGTGAGTTCAAGGCCAGCCTGGTCTACATAGTGAGTTCCAGGACAGCTGGGGCTACAGGAAGACCCTGTCTCAAAAAGACCAAAAAAAAAAAAAAACAAAACAAAAACATTCTTCCACTGGTTGAATGTAAGCTCTTGTTATTAGGGCTATGTCAGGAAGACCCTGTCTCAAAAAGACAAAAAAACAAACAAACAAACAAACAAAAAAACATTCTTCCACTGGTTGAATGTAAGCTCTTGTTATTAGGGCTATGTCTCCACTATATCTCCAAGGCCTCATGCCTGCTTAACTCCTGCAAGATGCTTCATAGTGTTTGTTAAACACATGAATAATGATTGAAAGAAATTCGTTCAGAAAAACATGCTAGCTTCATTTCCTATCTTGTGTGCAGTATGGCATCTGCGTTCAGGTGATGCTGTCACGTGGAGCACCAGCCAAGTGATTGATTTTTTTCCTCATTTTACTAAAACTGGAGCATAGTAAGAATAAACAGCACCTGGTGAGATGTTCTGCTTGCTGTTGTCCAGTGAATGAAAGGTTAGCCAGCAGTTCAGCTCCATTTAACATAGAAGACTTGGACCTTTCATGTGGCTTTCTGTCTCAAAAGTCACCCCATTCTAAGTGGCAGCTCACTGAGTGGGTGTCATGCATCCTGCTGACGGCTCTTCATAGTTGATTTCATCTGGTATTCATAACACCAATGACACACCATGTTCTGCCCATTTACAGAGGGGGTCAACACCCATGAGCTAGATCAATCACTTGTCCCAAGTCCCACACCTGGGATCTGAGGGATCTGAGCTTTCATTGGCTAATTCTTTGGAAAGCCATGGCTGACAGAAGGTCTCAGGGCTGAAGTCTGGTCCAGAAGCCACTCTCCCTCCCTTGTCTGTGAAAGGTTCCCTGGTAGGCTGAAGACTCTGAAAGAGGAGAGATACTGCTGCCAGTGACTGGTTCTGTAGCAGCCAAAAAGCACCTCTTCTCCTCTCTCCCTAGGTCATCTATCTTCGCCAGTTCACATGCCTACAAACGCTCAGCCTTGCTGGGAACCCCATTGCTGAGGCAGAGGACTACAAAATGTTCATCTATGCCTACCTTCCTGATCTTGTGTACCTGGACTTCCGGCACATTGATGAGCAGGCGGCAAGTATTCCTATCTGTCCCAGGCTTTGTTAGACAGTCTTCAGGGCCCAGGGTTTTATGAGGCAGTGAGGGGACATCTTCCTATTCATAGCTTAGAGATGGCTCTGTGGCTCAGTCCCTTCCCCACCTATGTACAGTCATTTCAGCAGTGGTCCCCCTAAGACCTACCTCCTGTGTAGCCCCAGGGATACCTGACAGCCATTGTCTATTTTCCAGATGAAGACACTGAGGATAGTAAAGGAAAGTGAGCAATTAAGTTGCCAAGATCACCAGCTGGTGACAGGGCTAGACTTACCCCAAACCAGTGTGAGTTGGGCAGCGCATCACTTCATTGCAGTTGAGCACTTCTATAGCATTTCTCTCTCTGCTGTCACCATAAGCTGTGAGGGCCCTGCTCTCCTCCTCATCTATCTGGAAGGACACTGAAGCTGGTACACAAGTGAAATGATTCACCCAGAACCCCCTAGTTAGTAGTGCCTAAGCTGGGAGTTGGCCCCAGGCTTTTGGTCTTTAGCACCATGCTGAGCCAGCTATGGCAAGGTGGGGCCTCCCCTGTCTACTGCCTGCCTCTGTTCCCACTCCCCTACCATAAGTGAGTCCCTTTCTCCTGTCACATGTCCCCCCACCCCCACCCCCACTCTTTGCAGTAGAATGTGGCCCAGTGTGTGAGGCCTTTAGTGGCAGGACTGGTAAGTCCCTGTGTGTCAGGTGCCTGGGAATCTGAAGACTGTTGATCTGCCTGCTTATTTTCATACGTGGCTGGGAAAGAGGAGCCTGTGCTTGGCACATTGAGGGATTCAGGGGGCACCCAGGAAAAGCTGTCTGAAACAGAGAGGAAGGCTAGCCCCAGCATCTATCCTAACCTTCTGCAGCCTACATAGGGAGCTGAGCCCTTGAGAGACAGGCAGTTTTCCAAGCACCAAGTCTGCTCTTACAGAGGACTGGGGTTTGATTCCCAGCACCCACATGTTGGCTACAAACCGTCCTTAAGTCCAATTCCAGGGGAATCCGACGCCCTCTTCTGACCTCCGAGGCACTACACAACACAGGTACACTCACATACATGCAGGCAATACACTCATATACATAAAATAAAAATAATAAATAAAATATTTTTTAATTTATAAAAAAGAAAAAAAAGACAAGAATCATCTTTAAGTCTTATTTTTGTCTTTTAGAGCAGAACGTTTTTCTACTTGCAACTCCTTTTCCCCTGAGAAATTTTTATATGACCTTGGGTATATGGATATACAAATCAAACATTTACTGATAATAAATCCTAAAGAAATTCACTGTAAAACAATTCTGTGGTACACACAGAATTTACCATTTATTAAAGACAAATGGTCTGAGAAGATAGCAGAGTTAATAAGGTGCTTGCCACCAGTTTAATCTCCAGAATCCACATTTAAAAGCCAGACATGCCAAGCATGGTGGCACACGCCTTTAATCCCAGCACTCGGGAGGGAGATGCAGGCAGATCTCTGTGAGTTCAAGGCCAGCCTGGTCTACATAGTGAGTTCCAGGACAGCTGGGGCTACAGGGAGACCCTGTCTCAAAAAGACAAAAAAAGGGGCTGGAGAGATGGCTCAGTGGTTAAGAGCACTGACTGCTCCTGCAGAGGACCTGGGTTCGATTCCCAGCACCCACATGGCA